AGGGAGGGCTCCCCCCAGGGACCCGGCTGCCAGCAACAAACACCTCACAGCATGATGTGTTAATTGGTTATATAAATTAAGTTTATTTCGGCGTTCAACAGAAGACAAAGCTCTCAATAAAAATTAAGTCGCTTTTCAACATATACACACCCATACTGGTATGTCCCCTACAGATCATCGTCATAGGCCATTACTTTTTTTCTCAGGGGAAGGGAAATGATAAAAAGCTTACATTTTCCCCAAATTCCTTTTCTTCTAATTAACTACAGATATAAAGGTTGATTGCTAAGGATAGAATGCTTATCCCTCCAAATGACAGAAGGGATTGTAAGAAACATGAAACTATAACAAAAAAGCCTTATATTTTCTAGTTTTTAGTAGTCTTTAGTACTGTAACTCGTATTCCTGCATGCACAATGATCTAACGGTGTAACTGTTGCACTGATCCCCGTTTTCTCACTAAGGAATGTAGTGGAAGGACATGGACACAAGCTATCACTTAGTCATTAGACAAAATAATCAAGTGAAACAAAAGTGGTCTTGGTTCCCAGCAAATAATTGGGATAATTGTGGGATAAAAGAGACTCCTAAATAATTCTACTCCAGACAGCTCGGCCTTGGGAGGGCAAAGGCGCCAAGCTCCAGAGATAAGGAGGCACCAAAAGAGCAACCAGACCAGAGCCAAACAACCTGAAGGACACGATGGACGTGATCCTGGAACTGAGTCTGCACAGAAACAAAGGTCAATGAGCAAACAGCGTGATGAAGAGGATGGGCCTTCATCTTGGGATCCCCGAAGACCACCCAAAGATGCTAACAGACATGTGTGAAAGATATTTACATATGCTAATTAGTTCCTAGAAATAGAATGAATATTTACATGTGTAACTGTATTTAACCTGAAGCAACAGGGTGTCTGGTGCGCACGTTTGGAGGAGAGATCCCCTGTGTGCCCGGCGCTGCAATAAAGAATAGCTGCTTAACAGTGTACATTGTGCTGTTAGGTTTTCGAATCACAAAGAAAAAATAAGCAAATACACTGTTGCTTTTCCACAATTCCCTAATAAAGAATGGCTCGTGACTGCCTCCCTCCCCAACTCTAAAAGCAACAACAAAAAACCCCCTAAAGAACTGGAAAACACACAAATGAACTAAAGGAGGACCATTTTTAAAGCAGTGATGCAATCCAAGCAGTGACGGCAGCCAGCAGACCTTTCAGGAGACAGGAAAACGAGCAAACACGGAGCTGCGTGACGCTGCCAGACAACGGGTTATTGTTATTATCGTGACAAGAAAGCATCACCTTCGCATTTTTTGTGGTGAAAAGCGGTCAGTGTGGCAGCGGCGCAAGGACGGCCGCACTGACCCCTCCAGCAGCCCTGTCTACACAACCATGCCGAGCCAGCATGCCCTGCAGCTCCTGTCTCCCTCTCAACAGCTTTTGCAACTTCTACGTTGAACGGAGACGTATAGTCTGTTAGACAAACCGTAAAAGCATCGGCAAAAGGAGAAAAGAAATACTCAAAAGCCCTGCTTCATAAGCAAGTTTTAATGCCTAATAATAAAAAGAGACCAAAAAAAACAAGGCAGAGAGATATCCTGAGCCCAAAAGCTCGGAGCACACATCTCCTCCTAACCCGGGATTGTTCACATTTGCTTGCTGCTTCAAGAAAAAACTCAAATATCTGTTCTAGACTTTAAACACAGGGTTGTCTTGCACTAACAACCTCTGCAGTGAACTGAATTACAACATATGACTATAAGAAGGAGAGGTAAAAAAAAATTAGAAACGCCAGCAGATATAGACAAAAGGTATGCTAACTCCCCATGCTTATGAAGAATATTTGAACCTGACATTCAAAAGTTTGTTTTGCTGTTTAACCACGCTATGGGAATGATCTGAGCTTTGTGTAGACAACTGAAACCCATCCTGCAGTCTAAATCAGTTTAGTGATTAAAAAATAAGGTTTCTTCTGCACGTCCTAAGGGTAGAGGAAAGAACTGCAGAAGAGAGATTCTTCCTGGAGTCACCGTTACACCACCTGGTGCTATCTGAAGTCACAAATCCGAATCTACAATAACCTTACAGAAAGCTGTGGTGCGCAAGATAAGGGTACGTTACTGTAGGGCACTGAATATTGAAACTGCAATTTCACGTCCCCTGCAAAAGACTTTCCCAAATCAATACACAATGCTCCTTCTGTTTCGTGTACATAAAATATTTAGCAAGAAGGTCATAAATTGTCCTTTAACGTTCATCTTTCCAAGTCTATTTTATCAGAAAAAAAAAGCCAAAAAAGTGATCTTTGCATTTTATTAAGCAAACACCCCCGAGTAAAGAGGCTGATATCCACTGTCTTCTCTCTTGCACGTAAGCACGCAGACACCCAGCATGCCAAAGAACTGAAAAAAAAAAAAAAAGAGAGATTTACTTCTGCTGTATTTTGTTTCAGTCATCAGACCCAACAACTATATGTTAATTAAACTTTTTCACCATAGCAGGGACATTCTTTTTGTATTAAAAACACTTAGAAGAGACATCTGCAGAAAGTGATGATTTTTTTTTTTTTGCACATCGATTTCCAATAATAGTTCCAGCTCCACTTTTCTCTCTTTGGTTTCTCCCATTAATTGACAAATCCGTATTAATTCCTAGTGATCTTATTGTGGGAAAATTTTCAGTGAAAGCGCGGGATTATTCTGGATTTAAAATGAGTTATGTGAAATATTTAAGCATATAAAATATGCAAATAAAGATAGAGAATATGCTAAGGCAATCTTTAGAGATGATCACAGGAGAGATCGTGATGGGATGGTTCATCATAAACAGAAACGGGACATGAAATGGGAGTGTAGAACTCATAGAGGGAAGGGAAATGATGGAAATGATGTCACCAAGCCATTTAAGCCAAGACCCGCCTGGACGCGGTCCTGTGCAGCCCGCTCTGGGTGACCCTGCTTTGGCAGGGAGTTGGACTAGATGACCCACAGAGGTCCCTTCGAACCCCTACCATTCTGTGATTCTGTGAGAACGGGTACAGGGAACAATGACAAACCACCAAGCTAAAATTTATGGGTCAAATCTTCGAAGAAATGCCTGTGCAACTTTATGATGTGCCTATTGCGAGGAGTTGGTTTTTGTTTTGTTGTTTGGTTTTGTTTTTTACTTTTTGCACCAGGGCTTTTCAAATCTAGTTTTCACCCACAAGATGATCTGGCTTCACATTTCATTTAATTCAATCTTGTAAGTCTATAAATAGCCCTGCTGGTTTCATTCCTAGTTATATTTCTAGTCTACCTTGACTCCAGGTCTCTAAGCACAAGACTATTCATTGGGTTATATCTAAAAAGAAACTTTGATGAGCAATTTTTAAAGTTCCAGTTAAATATAAAAAAGCTGGTTGTTTTAATAAAGAATTATAGATCTAAGCCTTTTAGCACACCCAGTTTTTTGTACTTCCTACCAAACAACCAAGATGGATTCTCCGTTGACTTGCCATCCCAAACGCCATACTCACTTTTTGGATTCCTCCTCTTATTGTCAGGCAGATGAAATCGAGAAAGTTGGAAGAGAACAAGCAAGGGACAGAGGACTGCATCTATCTCAGAGCCAGGAAAAGGCTGTAGTTTAACAGAACCCGGCAGAAGAAAAAGCCCCGGGATCAAAGGATAAACAGTATTATTTTCTATGAGGGAAGAGATAAAACATTTACCTTTACGATGGCAAACCCCAGGATTACAAGCATAGCGTAGCTGATAACGCTCTGCAGCCCAGACTCCAGCTCCTCTGCACAGCCCTGTCATGAAAGAGATGGATGACAACAAATCAAAATATGTAATTTAGCTGGATGTTTTTTGGCTTTTTTTTACCTCCCTGACACTTA